GATGTGAAAGCACTTTGAAAACTGGCAAGGGCGGGTTGAGGGGTTATTGAGTCATGTAATAATAATGACAATAACTGAGAAGTCACAGCAGGCTGGAGCCAGGCCCCTGGAGCTCAGGGAAAGGGCAAAATGAAGTGAGCCTTCAGTAGAGATGGGCACTGCCCTCCCTGATTACAGAAGTTCTGGGGCTGGCACCCCTCTTGGAGTTCTCTCAGGAAATGTGTGGATTGCTAGAGAGGGGTTTATCCCAGTCCATAGAAGGGGAAACTGAGTCCAAAAGAGGTTGAGGACCTATCCTAAGCCAATAAGGTACAGATCCAGGAAAAAGAGGCCCATTGGACTGGAGCCACCATGGCCTTGGTTTTCCCCTCCTCTGGATGAGAAAAGCTCAGAGCTGGGGCCCAAGAGACCATGGAAGCAGAAAGCCCCTCCTTATTGTGGTACAGTGGGAACTAAGGCCCCCCAGACCCCCATTATCCCTCCTCCTGCGCTGGCCCCTCTCCACTCCCTCCTCCCTACAAGTCCTCCCACATTCCTCCAGGCAACAGGAAACCCCAGCTGCAGCCCAGACTTCAAACAGCTCCTCCCTCTGGGCAGGGGGTGTGGGAGGAGAGGCCAGAGGCCAGAGGGCAAGGGTCAGCTTTGTTCCTGCCGGAGGTGATGGGGGACCCTGGGGGAGACGGGGGCAGGGTAGGGCCCGTGTGTGTGTGTGTGTGTGTGTGTGTGTGTGTGTGTGTGACAGAGAGAGAGAGAGAGAGAGAGAGAGAGCGCGTGTGAGCGCGCGGTTCGGGGAGAGTTCCTGTATGACCATCAGGGTGTGTGGGGTTCTCACTGTCAGCTCTTTGGTTTCCTTTCAACTAGTGAACCTGAATTATGTGACTGAGTGTATATCAGAGTGTGTTTGTTTATCTGTAGGTGCTCAGCCTGGGATCCCACTGACATGTCTGTAGGTGTCATCGTGTGCCTGGTTCACAGGTCTGCTCAAAGCTATGTGTCCTACGAGCGTGACCTGGTGTGGTTCTTTGTATCCAAGAGGAGTGTCCCTTTCACACTTCCCCCCTCTCATTCTTATGTCACACTGGTCACCAGAACTTTCCATCTGGAAAGTAAATCTCACTTTGTTACTCCCCTGCTGAAAACTCTTCAGTGCTTCTGATGGCCCCCAGACTTAGAATCTTAGCTTGCATGGCAGACAAGACCCGTGCCTACCTTACCATCTCCATCTTTAGCTACTAACCCCCCTCAATTTTTCACTCCAGTCACACCTACCTACTTGTTCCTACCTGCACAGTCTCATTAGAGTCTGGAATGCCCTTCTCGTTTCTTTATAAAGCAAAACTTTTCCTCCTTTTGCAAGTATCTGGTGAAGCAACACCACCATTGAGAAACCTTCCAGATTTCCCCATGCCCAACTGAGTTAGGACCCTTCCCTCTTCTCCCACATTTTCTGCCTGTGTCTGTCCTCTTCATCCTCAACACCATGACTGTGAGCTCTGAGAGCAGGAACTTCTAAGTCCTCTTATCCCAGAGGAGTTTCCTGCAGTTCTAAAATGTAGTATCCAGAGTGACGACTAGAGGGCGTATGGACACCTCTGCAGGAGATCCAGGGTGGGTGGGTGGGGGTGGGTGGGTGTGTGTGTGTGTGTGTGTGTGTGTGTGTGTGTGTGAGAGAGAGAGAGAGAGAGAGAGAGAGAGATGGGTGAAAGGGAGACTTTGATAATACTGTACCTGGGAGAGAACTATTGGAGTGGATAGTGGGTCCACCCAGCTCAGTACTGGAACAGTGGGATCCAAGATAGACTCACCCCCAATAGGTTATAGGCCCCCTAGATTTCTCTCTGACTTTTCTCTACAACTCAGGGGCCACATCACTTGGCTTTCAACTCTCTACCTTTTGCCTCTGACCTTCCACCATTCTTTCATGCCTCATCTGCACCCTCAACTCTCCCATACATAGTTATATTCACTTGCCTGGCTTGATCTTGCTCAACCATACCCCTAGGCCTTTGCACATGCTTATTCCCTAAGTGGGGGATGCTCTCACCCTCTGCCTGCTTCATCAGGCATTTTTTTTTCACATCCTCCAAGAAGTCTACGTTGGCCTCCAGACTTGACCCTGCCCCTAAGTGTTGTAATTGTTTACTGTCCTGCCTCCTGGGCAGGACCAGCCTATAGGAGATATCAGTAAATATGTGCAAAATTAATAAATGACTTGGCTCTTTTGCAAATACAAGCCTTAGCATATAGGGGGCTACCCCAGACCCCTATCTGCCCCACTCCCTCCCTGGCCTGACTCGGAGTTAGTATTATGCTTTCCCATGCTTCTCCATCAAATAAAGGAATGTGATATAGTAGGATGCATGAAACTTTGAAGTCACACAAACCTGGGTTCAAATCCTGACTTTACCAGCCAGCTGTATGACCTTGGGCAAGTGTCATAGCCTCTCGGAGTCTTTGTTTCCTCTTTTATAAAATGGGAATAATCACACTTCTGCACTGCCTCAGGAGGATCATATTAGATGATGCATGTGAAACACCTAGCATTACTCAATTAGGTGTCCTCCTCCCCCACCATGGATTTGGAAATAAAATTGCCCTCTGAGTCTTAAGCCAGTAAAATCCACGTATCAGAAGGAGAAGAGCCAGGTGGGGGAGTGAATGAGGCGAGAGATGGTTTTGTAAACGATTGAAGGGTTTTGTGAACAGTAGAAACCGCAATCAAGGTGACCCGCCTGTAATCTCAGGGAGACAGGGCGAGGATGTGATTGAAATTGAGAAAACAGGGGCCTAATCAATTGCATTGTGCTCTATCTGAAGGGAACAGAAGGATGCACAGAAAAGGGGGTGCAAGGGAGAATTTATTCAGCTGCACCAGAGGGAGGGACAGGGAACCGGTAGACACAAGGATTCCAGGCTCAGGAGCCTTGGTCTCTGCTGAGCAGTTAGGGCCTGGTGAACTCCATGTGGTCCACTACCCTGCTGGGCCTTTATTTTTTTTAACTCGTTGGGCATCCTGGTACCAACGAGAATCCCTGCAGACGAAAATATTTTGATCCCAGGAAAAGACTACAAAGACTAAGAGCAGTGATTTTGGAGTCAGATGGTCTGGTTCAAGCCCTACTCTGCCAATTATGTCCTATAACCTATTTGCTTCCTTGTGCCTCAGTTTTCCTATTAGTAAAACGAAGATACAACAGTCTTCTCCTCATGGGGTTCCGTGAGGATTAAATGGCAGCTTGCACTTAGCAGGATATCTAGCACAGAGTAAATAATTTGTAAAAGGCAGTAACAAAGAGAGCTAGCATGTATTGAGCATCTTACTGCCATTTCACAGATGAGGAAACTAAGGCTTGGAGAGATTAATAACTTGCACAAAATCACACAGCAGGTGAATGGTGGAGGCAAGATTAACACCAGGCACAACTCTAGAGCTGTGCTCTTATCCGCTTACTCCATAGCAAATGGGAACACTGGGACTCTGGTTTACACACTAGGCTCTTGTGAGTTTGATTGGCTGGAGACCGTGGTCCTCAAGAACCCTGGCACCTGAAAGTCTGAGTGTGCAGAGCCAAGGCTCCCACTCCTGCGAACACCTCTCTAAGCAGCCACTTGGCCTCTCTCCACCTTATTGCTCCCATTTAGCAACCTGTAGCATCGGGCTAAACACAGGGAATTCTCAATCTGCATTGGCCACCTTGTCCCCTTTCTTTTAGGTCACTCAACTTGGGTTTCCGGGGGATTTTTGTACTAAAATCTAGAGGGAGAAGGATCTTCCAAACATCCACCTGGGGCATATATGATTTCTTCCTAAAGCCCAGAGGCAGTGAGGTCTGTTAGAATATCATGAGCCTTGGTGTGAGACCAGGGTTCAAATCCCATTTTTGTCACATACAGCTGTGCAACCCCTGAGCCTCAGTTTTCTCATCAGAGAACCAGACTCACAGCTAGATTAAATGGTCGCAAACACATCTGGCATTCAGCAAACACTTAATAAATGAGTTATTATCTTTATTTCTCTCCAGTCTGACTGTGAACTCCTCAAGGACGGGGACTGGTCTTGTTCATATTTGTGTTCCTGAGGTCCTGCCTAGCAAAGTGCCCTTCACAGAGTTAATGCTTAGCAATTGTTTGCCCACTGGAGCAGTGATTCCCAGCTCCCATCCTCTTTCCCTGTCCACCCCCTAGTAAGTCAGGGGGTCAACCATTTCCTGATGGAAGATGTGGGAATCCTTATTTCCTGTCTCCCTTTCTCCACATAGAGGTACATCAGCTGTCAAAATGCCTCAAAGAGGGATCTAGGGTGGAACAATCCCTCACTGCACAGGTGCTCGGCAGGTTGTTTAGCACCTCCAATCCCTGCCCACTCCATGACGGTAGGAGGCCCTAGTCATTGTGACAAACAACACTGCCTCCAAACCTCTCCAAAAGGCCCCCAGGGGACAGAGCTGTCAAGTGAAATTCACTGAGCTAGACCAACTCTCAGGCCCCGCCCATCCCGTCCCTCTGTCTTCTTTTGGGGGAGCTGCAGAGGGTCCACTGTAACCTTCCCCTACTGCATCTTTTTGGGGGAAGCCTGCTGCTGTGTCTGTGATGAACAGTAAATCTGTGGAAACCAAGTAAAGAATTAGCAAACCCACTGTACCCAGATTGAATGCCACATTAGTAATGAAGGGGACATTCTGATCTCCCATTGCTTGTCTTCTGTATCCATCTCTCAACTCATCCTAAACTCACGTGGCGGCAAGCATCAGGACTTTTCGGTGTCCTAAAATACCTCTGGGGTACCTTGCGCTTAGTAGGCATTAGGGCACTCTCTCCCATTCCCCTCTTCCCAGCAGCCAGAGCAGCCCCGCTCACCTCCCACTGACCACCATCCCTCCCAAAGGAAGGAATTTTCACGGCTCAAGGACTCATATCATTGTTTTTCTTATTTACAAAATTAATAAACACATATGTTTATTAATGGGGAGGGGTGAACCCTCAGCAACCCTCTCCCTCAGTCTTGGCCTTGGACCCCAGTCCTGAACTATAGGGTACACCCAGCAGGAAAGGGATCCAGCAAAGTCCTTCCCTCTCTTTGTAACTTACAGACACAAGAGCATTCAGTAGGAGGTGAATTCTGGGGTCCTGGACCAGGGTGGGATGAAGGGTAGGAATGCAAGGATGTGGGGGGTAGGGGTAAGTGAGGGAAAGGATACACAGTTTTATAAATAACTAGACAAGGTCTGAGTATTTCTCTTTTTTTGTGGGGGGAGAAGGGAGACTAGAGGCATGTAGGGTCCTAATTTGGAAAGAGAGAAATAGTGCCTTGGGTAAAACGGTGAAGGATGATCTCTGAGCCTCAGTTTGTTCATCCTTAAAATGAGTGGATTGTCCTCAATGACATCAGATTAACCTGTTTGCTCTGACATGCTAGGACTCTATAGGGTTCTAAGCCTGGGAGCTTTGGGACCAGAGCCCTGGGGATTGAAAAGAGCTGGTGGGTACCCCTAAAGAGGTGGCAGATGCCCAAACAGGTTATGTCTGATCCCCAGGCTGGTACTGGGGTTCTGTGGAGGTGAAGTAGTCCTCTAGGAAGGACTGCAGGTACTCGAAGGTAGGCCTCTCCTCCGGGTCCAGACGCCAGGTCTGCAACATGACCTCATACAGGGATGCGGGGCAGCCTGGGGGGCATGGCATGTGGTAGCCATGCTCCACCTGTTCCAACACTTCCCGGTTATTCATGCCTGGAGAGTGGGGCTCCATCAGTCAGGAAGTCTAGCCCCTCCCAAAGAATCAGCCAAGATGTCCTTCCCCTTGACCACCCTTCTGCCTCCCTGCCTCTCAGCAAACCTGGGTAAGGGACTCGGCCCTTGCTGATGAGTTCAGTGAGTAGGATTCCAAAGGACCACACATCTGACTTGATGGTGAATCTGCCATACAGGGCAGCCTCTGGGGCTGTCCACTTGATAGGGAACTTCGCCCCTGGAGAGATTGGAGGGGAAGGGAAAGTTAATGAGGGGGCCCTGGGAACAGCTGGATTAAAAGAATGGTGTCTTTAGGATTGAGGACTCTGAGCACAGAGGTCTCTGGGCATAACAGAAAGGACCCCCCAGTATCTAGCCAGAACTTATTGTCTAGTAACATATGTCTAGCACTATATGCCTAGTATAGTGCTGGGCACTTTACAAACATTGTAATAATTCTCATAATCATAACGTCTAACATTTGTACAGTAAGCCTTCACTTAATGTCATGAATAGGTTCTTGGAAAGTGTGACTGTAAGTGAAACAATGTATAACAAAACTAAATTTCACCCTAGGCTAATAATTGATAAAAAACAAGAGTTAAGTTCCTGTAGCATACTTCTGGTCACAAAAACATCACCAAACTTCTAAATAAAGACTCCAAATACTTCTAATATTAAACATTGAAATAAATGTGAGCTGTACATTCATTTAAGAAAGATAAATAAACCCTAGCCAATGTGGCTCAGTTGGTTGGAGTGTCGTCCCATAAATCAAAAGGTCGTGGGTTTGATTCCTGATCAGGGCACAGGCCTGGGTTGCAGGCTTGGTCCCTGGTTGGGGCACATGTGAGAGGCAACCAGTGGATGTTTCTCTCTCACATGGATGTTTCCCTTTTTCTCTCCCTCCCTCTCCCTTTCTCCAAAATCAATAAGCATGTCCTCAGGTGGTGGAAAAAGAAAAAAGAAATAAAGGTGAATAAAAACATGTAAGATAATGATTTTCCAGCTGCTTATCCCAATTCAGGATTGCAGGTGACCAGATAACAAATCGAGACCCACCCTGAACAGGATGCCCTTCCATTACCGGGCGCACTCACACACGCTCACTCAGACAGGGAGGAAATAGACATGCCCATTCCCCTCACGTGCACAGCTTTGGGATGAGGGCGAAAACCAGAGGACCTGGAGAAAACCCAAGAAAACATGGGGAGAATATGCAAACTCCACAGAGACAGTGGTCCAGCCAGGAATCAATTTTCTTTCTCATCCATGTTACAGTGAAATGACATTGAACAAACTGACATTATTCAAGGACCTGCTGTATAGCCTTTACGATATGCCAGGCACTGTCTTAAGTGATTTACATGCATTAATTCATTTAAACCTTACAAAAACCCCATGGGATACAAACTATTGTATTATTATCCCCATTGTACAGATGAGGAAAAGGAGGCAGATCACACAGCTTATAGGTGGTTAGGATTCATACCCAGGCATTCTAGCTACAGAGTGCATGTTACTATACTTACTGTCTTTCTTTTCTTATTAATTTTTATTTCTTAGTTTTAGAGAGAGGGGTGGAGAGAGAGATACCAATTTGTTGTTCCACTTATTTATGCATTCATTGGTTGATCCCTATATGTGCCCTGACTGGAGATCAAACCTGCAACCTTGGTATATCAGGATGACACTCTAAGCACTTGAGTTAGTTGGCCAGGACCTATGCTTATTATCTTTCACTTGAGAGTCATAGGAGTACCTGGCACATAGTAGGTGCTTGGTAAATATTTGTTGACTTACTGTTGTCTGAATATTTTCATTTTATAGATGAGGAAAGATAGGTCACAGAAGTTAGGTGCCTTGCCCAAAGCCACATGGCTGGTAAGTGGAGGGGCTTGGACTTGAACCCTTAGTTGCCTCTTATACTACATCAGGATTGGAGTGTCCCAGATGGTCTGGGTTGGGGAAGGATTCCTGAGTATGGGAAGTCCCACGGTGGGATAAGGCAGGGCACCTTGCCGGGGGTGGTACTCATCATCCTCAATGAGACGGGCCAGCCCAAAGTCAGCGATCTTGCACACCAGCCGCTCCCCAACAAGGATGTTGGCTGCCCTCAGGTCTCGGTGGATGTAGTTCATGCGCTCCACATAGGCCATGCCCTCAGCTACCTGGGGTCAAGATATGGAAAGATATGGAACACCATGTACGTGACAGATCATCTGAAAAACTGCCTTTCCAAATGAGGACGCTGAGGCTCAGAGATGGCCAGTTCCCTGCCTCAGGTTGCACAGCTGATGTAGTGGGTGGGACTGCGTGTCCAGGGGTAGGCTCAATGTTTAAGGGCTCAGGGATTTGTGGAGGGTTAATAGGAGGGGATCTGAGAAATGAAAGCTGCTGTCCCAGTTTACCTGGGCTGCCATGTCCACCAACTGGGGCAGGCTCAAATCCTGGCCCTCTTGGTCTTTGAGAAACTCCAGCAAGCTACCTGGGGAGAGGAACCCAGAAAATGAGCAGCAAGACCCTACCCCCACTTCCAGGCCAGCCTTGTGTCCCTCGGCTCTGCCCCTACCCAGAACGCATCTCCTCCTGCCGTCCCTAGTTCCCAGCCCTTTCATTTAGATCCGCCCCCACTTAGGATCCTGCCAGGTACCTCAGCCCTTCACTAACCTCGCCCAGGCCCTACTCCCAGACACCTTGACTCTGCCCACATCTTTTCTCTCCCTATGTTCCCCGCCACCCCACCCCATCCGACCCACTCAGACTCCGCCCCTTCCTCATGACACGTCCCTCTTTCACTTGCCCAAGCCCCAACCACCAGCTGACCACACCCATAAGGGGTTCTGCCCCCAGACCCCACGTTGTCTAACTTGGCCCCACCCTACACCCAGCACTCATGTGGTTTCACTTCTCTGTTGTCGCTTCACTCAGATTCTACCCATCGTGCTTCTTCCCATCAGATTGCTACCCAAGTCCCTCCCCCAGAGACACTTTAACGTCACCCCAAATCCTGCCCCTCCTTTGAGACTGCGTCCCCTGACTCCCTCCTCACCATGGCACATGAACTCTGTCACGATGTAAATGGGCTCCTCTGACACCACTGCATACAGTTGTACCAGCTTGTCATGTCGCAGCAATTTCATGATCTGCGCCTCCTCCAGGAAGGCCTTCGGGGACATGGTGCCCGGCTTCAGTGTCTTCACTGCCACCTTCGTGTTGCCGTTCCATGTTCCTGCCGGGTGCCCACGGCTCGTCAGGAAGGGTTCCCTGCCAGCCCAAGCCCTTGCACCGGGCTGGTCTGGCCCTGGCCCCTGGGACCTACGTACCCAGCCACACATCCCCGAAGCAGCCAGTGCCCAGCCGGCGCTCCAGCGTGATGGAACTGCGGCTGATCTCCCAGGCGTCCTTGGCCAGGCCCAGTGTTTGCGGCTTCATGGTGGTGCAGGGTGCTGTGAGCAGGTAGCACAGCCCATCATTCACCTCTAGGGAGTGGGGAATCAGAGGTCACAGCCGGGCCAGGATGGCCCACACATTCCTCATCCCACCCCAGCCTCCAAGATCAGTTATAAGGAACTAGGCCACAGGTGAGGTCAGAGGCCAGGGCACTGCACCAAGATGGTGAGGCAATTCCTGTAAGGACTAGGGGACTTCCCATAGGAGGTGGCCTCTAGCTGGGCCTCCAAGGATAAGGTGGGATTCTGACAGGTGGAAATGGAGTTGAGGACTCCGCACAAAGATGTCGACATGTGACCTCATCCTTCCATGGATCTCTTCATTTTCCTAACCAACCAAATGAGAAACCTGGGAATGATTCCTTCCTTCCCCTTAACCTCAGAGCCCCTCCTCCAAGTCAGTCCTATCTTGCCTCCTACCCAGTTCAGACATAGGTGGCGCCACAACGAACAGCCTCACGCCTCACGCCTGTTCCTTCTAGAATCCTACGGAGCAGTATCCTGGGTGAGAGCCCAGATTGGGTTCGTCCTGGGCCTCAGTCTCAGCGGGCTGGGTCAGAAATCTGCAGCGCACGCCAATCCCAAGGGCCCGCTCTCACCCATGTAGTGCTGCACGAGCTCCTGCACCGAGTCAAACTGGGCCCGCGCGGTGATATAGTAGCCACCCGTGTCCAGCTTTCGGATCTTGTAATGCTTCACGTGATCGCCTCTGGTCTGGTCCCAATCCTTGATGGACAGCGAGTAGGCGCCTGTGGGGAAGGGTCATCTTCAGGCCTGCTTTCCTCCTCGCCCCCAGTCTGGAAGCCCAAAGAGGCCCAAAAGGTGGGGCCTCTGAAGTTAGACCCAGTCCTAGTCTTAGCTCTGACCCTCCACCCTGTTCAGTCTTGGCCCTGACCCAGGACCCACCTCACCCCTCCTAGCCCCCACTCACCCCCACTAGCCCCACCCACCGTGTCTAGCTCCACTGATTGCTTCTTGCTCCACCCTAATGGCTAGGCTGTCCCAGTCCAGGGCCAGGCATGGCACAGCCCCCACCTTTGGTGGTCTCACTCTCCCGAATGAGAAAGGCTCCCCGGGGGTTGCCTGCGGAGAGCAGCTGCCTCTCGGAATCCTTCCTCCCCATCTTTCCAAAGTACCACCTGTTGGGAAGGGCCGGCAAGAGTCAGGTACACACCCAGTTCAACCCCCAAGTCAGCCTCCTGGGAAAAGTCACCTCATAAGGCAAGATTCAATGTCCTCACCCATGAAAAGGGCCTCATACGCTTGCTTCACAGCCTGGGTATGAGGATCACAGAAAGGGGGAATTAGAATGCTTGGCACACAGCAGGTGCCCATAAAGGTTAGGCTTTTCCTCTCCACTCTCTGGGTTTCTCTTGAATTAAAATTGCTAGAACCCCAGTCACCAGTGACCTCATCAGGGTGCCCCGGTCTATTAGTCCATGCCATGGCTGCTCCTCCGCGAGTTAAATTTACGGATGAGGAACTTGAGATGGGAGTGGAGTGGGGAAGGAAAGTGACCTGCCTACAAAGTGCAATAAACTCTATTTGAAATCCTTTGTGGCCCACCCTCGTTCTTTTCACACCATCCCAGGCAACCACGCAGGTCCCTCTCCCCACACTCACCTGCAAACTCTTTCCTCCTCTGACTTCCAGAACAACACTCTTTCCTGCTTCTCTTCCCCTATTTCTGACTGCCCCTGCCTGGCTCCTACTGCCGTTTCCCTCCATTCTCTTAAAGTGGGACGTTATTCTAAGTCTCAACTACAACCTCGGGCCTCAAGCATTCCTGCTTTCTTTTGGGTATTCTTCCTTGGACTGAATTGTAGCCTCAAGTCAACTGTTAGAGGATCCTGGAGAGATGAAGTGACCACAGGTACCACAAAAGAATCAGATGTCAGAGCTCTCCCTCTCTGGAGCTCACTCCTGCCTTTCCCTTCCCCCTCTTCTTATCCCTGGGTGGAGTTACCTTTGCCTTCTCTCTCCTAAGCTCCCAGGGCCCTACTTCTGCCTCTGTAACTTGTTTCCTGAGCCAAGGCAGCCTAGCTGGCTCACTTCTACTACCTCCGTAACTTTCTAAATAGCATTTCTTACAATTTGAAAAACAAACAAACAAACAAACAAAAAACCAGATGTCATTCAATCACTAAATTGGCCCATGACCATTTGGGGTTCAATTAAAAGTAGCATAGTTTTCAAATCAAGGGAGGTGGCAGTCCTAGTGAATTTTGAAATTGTCATTCCACATCTGGGTACTAGGTGCATTTTGGGGAAGAGGGGGAGGCATTGGCAAAAGGGAGTGTCCAGGAGGACAGGCAGGATGGGGAAGAAAGAACTGTTGCAGGACTGTGAAGGCAAGACACATTTCCCAGTTTTTTCAAAGCCTGCCCCCACCCACACCCATGACATGAACTACTTCCTTCATAATCAATATAATAATAAGAGCATTTATTCTGTGTCAGGCTCTGCTTTCATACATACATGTATTCATTTAATTCTTAAAACAACACTGTGAGGTAAGTACTATTATTAACCACCATTAGACAGATGAGGAAATTGTGATATCTTGTGGTTAAGCAACTTGCCCAAGGCCACAAGCTCTTAAGATGTGTTGTCAGAAAAAGAACCCAAGCTCACTGCTCTAGGGCCTGCAGTCCTAACCACCACACTATTCTTAACAGCCACCCTGCATTAAGTGCCTCTCAGGGTTTCCTGACACTGCCCCCGAGATGTGGACACACGCACGAACCCCACAAACCTCTCATCTTCTGCATCATCACCCCTCCTCTCCTCCATGCCTTCTACCACCCCCCACAGATGAAGTCCTTACCCGACTCGAGCCCTGGACCCTGTCCACCCCCCTCTGCTCAGAGACACCTCTCCCCCACCAACCAGTCTCCATCTGCAGCTTCTCCATCCCAGCAACCTCCACCTATGCCTACGTTTCTTCCTTTCCCTAAGGAAACTGTCCAAAGTCCTCTCTTGCCATCAACATTCTGTTATATCTCTCATCTTCCCTTCTCTTGAAAAAGCACTTCACACTTGGGTCTCTACTTCCTCACCTCCTACTCCTTCCCAGCCTCGGCTGTCTGGCCTCGACCGACTTCACATAGGAAGACCTCTCACAAAGGTCACCCCCATTGCCAAATCCAGTGGAAGCCTCTGATACTTCCTCTCTTGTTTCCTGAAACCTCTCCTCCGCCCTCTTGGCTGATCTGATATGTCCTGGCTTGGTTTTCCAGTGGCAAATTCTCATTCAAGGGCAGCTGTTTTCACGGTTGGGTCCTAGGACCAATCTCTCTCACATTCCTTCCTCTTTCCTCACCCCGCTATGGAGCTTTAGTGATCATGTCCACTCTGAAGGGTCCCAAATTTGCACCCCGGCCTCGGTGTGCCAGAGGCAAGAGCTACAGCAAATTAAGAGCCTTAGTGCTAATAGGAGAAGATGCACCTTCCTCTGGCCTAATTCAGGGCGTGGCATGGGCTGGACACCTCTCATGGAAAGCACAATCTAACCTACGTGCAGGCAGTCTCCTCCACCTGGGTGTCCCTAGCCATGAAAATCAACCCGACAAGTCTCCCCTAGAAACCGACCTGCTCCTATGTTCCTCACTTTAGCAAATGGCACCATCACCCACCCAATTCCTCAAGATGCTTTGGGCCACCCTGGATTCCTCCCACTCCTTACACTCCAGCAGCAAATCAGTCACCAAGTCCCGCTGACTCTCACTCTGCAGTCTCTCCAATCTTTCTTTTTCCCATATATATATATATATATATATATATATATATATATATATATATATATATATATATGTATAGGTGAGGATAGATTTTAAAAAATGTACAAGGCTCAGTTTCCTCATCTGTAAAATGGAGACAATAGTAATATCAATAGTGTTATTATGAATAGTAAATGAATCAAGATAGGTAGAGTACCTGTGGTAGTGGCTCAAGTATATAAAGGGACTCTAGGAATAATTCTCTGCCTCCTCAATAGAATTAATTCTAATTAAAACCCCCTTGCATTTGTTTAGCACTTTACAATTTTTTAAAGCCCATACACTGTTGTTGTCACTGAGAGACAATATGTATAATGCTTAGCAAATGCAACCAGATGATCTGGGTTTAAATACTAGCTCCACCTACTTGCTAACTATTGGGCTTGATATTTAATTTCTCTGTGCCTTAAGTTTCCTTATTTGTAAAACAATAACATTAGTTCCTAACTCCATTAATATACATAAAGCACTTTGAATAGTGCCCAGAACATAGTACATGCTAGATAAGTATCATTTACTATTGTTATCATCATTATTACCTTATTTTATTCTCACAAGGACCTTACAGATTTATAGATAAGGAGACGGAGGTGAGCTGTGACTTGCCCAAGAGGCGACCTTGAGACTGGACTCTAGAATACTGTTCACAGGTCTGGTCTCCCCTCAATCCCTACTCACTCTTCAGCCTGGATGGAGTCCACTGGGGCCACGTAGTTGCTGGGAATGTAGCCAGTTTGTCCTGAACTGAGGGACCGAGCCTCCCACCAGTCACCTTCACTGTAGGCACAGAACAGGGGGTGTTAGTAGCAACCTAGCTCCTGGGGCACCTTGGGGCAGGCAGGGCCACACAAAGGATCAGTTGGAGACTGGCCCTGCCTATCCCTTACCTTGGACACATACACCCCAGGGCTTTTGTTTGTTTTGACCCCAGTTACTACAGCTGTCCCAGGAGACTGTTTCCTGCAGAAGGAATGTGTTTGGGAACATCTGGGCCTTCTGACTTTCTCCTCCAGCTCCTCAGCTGGGCTAGGGTTCAGGTAGGCAGGGAACATCTAACCAGGTCACTTCCCCACTGAGCCCCTCCCTCAATTGCTACATATTTCCTTCTGGATAAAATCCAGAGTCTCGACATGGCTATAAAAGCCCTTCAGATCTGCTCCCACCCACCTCTCCAGCCTCTGCTCTCTCTGTTCGGCACTTCATACTTTATGATCCATCTAAACTGAACCACTTGGTGGTTTCCAGAAGCCATCATTTATTCCCATTCTCTCTCTCATTTCCTCTTTCCTCACCTCTTTCAATGTCTATTCATTTCTCTAGGCTCAGCTTAGAAATCAACTCCTCCAGGAGGCCTGCCCTCATCACCACTACCCTGGAGACCATATTTGATGTTATCTCTGTGCCTGCAGTTCCTCATGCTCCCCTCATGCAGTTGCAATCACCCAGGGCTGTTACTGTCATGCACCTGTGTCTTCAACTAGGCTGGAGCTTTCTGAGGATAGGGACTAGGTAGATTTCTTCTCTGGGTTCTGCTCCCAGTCTGGGCCATCCTGAGTGGCTCGGTTACTTACGTGTTGTTCAGGATGTGGAACTTCTCGCCCTTGGTGAAGGTGAGGTCTTCTTCTGTCCGAGCCTCATAGTCATACAGGGCGACGAACAGGGTCACCCCAATCCCTGTGGAGTCAGGGCTACTCAGCAGAGTAGGGCACAAGAGCCAGAGGGGGGAGGTTCCAAGGGAGCTGCACCCCTCGAGTCCTGTTCCCTAGCCAGGCCCTGTGCCTCCTGACTGCTGTGCCTTTCTTCCCAAAGGCCTCTGGGGTCCTGTGGGTTTCTGATTTGGACATCACAGCTTGGCCCCCCTTGAATTCAGGACACACACCTTCCAGCCCATCCTTCCCAACCTGGGGAGTGTCCAGGTCACCAACTCCTCTTCTTTCCCACCAAGAAGAATTCCCAATCACATGTCATTGGGGTCCCTCTCTCAGACTGGGACAGAGCTATGTCTCCCTCTCAGACTGGGATTTCTGAGGGTAGGGCTGTATGTATTCCCCCACAGTACACACTGAAAACAGGGCTGTGTCTCCTGTACCACATTGGAGGCTCCTAAGGACAAGTCCTTATCTTCCCTTCTCCCAGGATGCAGGGAATGCCTGCCTCCAGCCTACTGGACTCACCTGACATGCCCCTGACCATGCTCCCATCGAGGAAGGCGGGGCTGGTGGGCTGAGTGGAGAAGTTGTAGTTGGGGATCTGGGCAAAGGAGGGCGCAGGCCAGGTCTGAGTAGGGTCAGGGCCATAGCGGTCCGCAGCCCCGTAGTTCTTGAATTCCCCCTCCAGGCCAACATCCTCCTTGGGCCCCAGCTCTGACTTCTTGCAGAACACACAGCCCATTCCAGGTGTCCTGCTAAAGAATGGGGACATGCCTCACTCAGGGGCCCCTGCCAGGTATGCTACCCTATGCACATATGCATGCTCGTGTGTGCGCATGAGCACACACACACCACTAGCTCCAGCTGCCCAGCTGACGACTCTGACGCAAGCACGCAGCTTTTCCCCTCGGGTCTGGAGTTGGGGGCCTCCCTAGTGAGGGGTAAAGGTGGGGCAGGACCACCACTGGCTCTACCTACCAGCTCCTTAGTGTTTGGCAAGAGCATGCATATTCTCAGTGGGGCTGGTTTTCTGCTTCCAAATGTTGCTGGGCTTATTTACATATTTTTGCCTCCTATTTCTTTTATATGTTGTATTTCTATGACTCCTTCAGAGTGCTTGTGTGTGTATTTTGTGTGTCTAAGTATTATGTGTGTGTGCGTGCGCCAGTGTATGTATTCCTGTGCATGCAGATCCGGGTGAGTCGGTGCCTCTGTGTCTGTGTTAGCATCACCATGCGCATAGCCCTGTGTGGGAGTATACATGCCTGTCTGCATGTGCGCTCTGTGGAAGTGTGTGAATATCTCTGTGCATACGTATGTGCCTCTCCATGTATGTGCATGTTATGCATGGATGTGTGTTTGTGAGTGAGTGTGTGTGAGGGCTGTGTGCCTGCACCTGGAGATTCCCTGCAGAGGGGGATCAAGGCCATTTCCTGTCATGGGTCCAGCCTCTGGCCTCTCAAGCTGCCTCATTCTGGCTCCCCCATCTGTTACCTAGCAACAGGGCCCTTGTAGGAGGAGGGGTCTGTGAGGAGTTTTGGGACCCAGGAAGGCCACCCCAACCCAAGTCCCCAACCCCCAAAGCTGATGACTCTTGGGGAGCGGTTCCTAAGTACGCGAAGCCCTCAGACCCCACTCCCCTCACTCACCCCTGAGGCCCCTACTCCTCGGTCAGTGGAGCTGCGGCATGGTCCTGGGGAGGGGCCAGAGACCTGCGAGCGAGACAGAAGGACACGGAAGACGAAGGTTCTGCCAATGTTCCTGCGAGCCAGCTGCTAGCTCCTGCCCTCTCTAGAAGCCAGAAGGCCTGGGCTCTGTCCCAGGGTGACTTCTGCCTTCCTTTTCCTTCCCACCGCCCCTGGCTCACTTACACATTCACCCTCACACAGGACACACCACCCACACCGACTCTGTCATACTCATATCAGCCTGGCACACAGACACAACACCACATGGAGTAATACACACACCGACAACAGTCACACACCAGCCTTCACAGCATACACGTGCATGAGTGTGCTAAACGATGCCACCACACACCAACACAAACTCACACACAAGCCCAAGCTCTGAAGCATAGTAACGTGTGCACATGTCACACGCACACACAGACTGCCTCTCAAATAAACAGACTTGGACACTCGGAGACTCATAGTGTAGTGTTAGGTCCATTTCTCTAATTGGATTTCTATCAAGACATGCTCTACTCATTCTTGGGTTGCCAGTCACTGTCTCCTATAAACACTGTCCCCTTCCTTTGGAAGCTGCCTCTGCTCCCAGCCTGGGCTGGGTAAGCCCCAGAAATCCAGGGCTGTATCCGATGGCAAAGTAAAGGTAGACACCCACCTTCAGAGCTTGCTCCTATCCCCTCATCAGGGAAAGGCCCAGGTCAGAAGCCAGGGCAACCGCGATCCCTCGGAGGGCCCACCAATGTGGCTAGGCTTTTCTGGTAACTGTGTCCCCTGAGCAACAGGCTGACAGGTCATTGAGCAAGGGCTCCCCACGCCCCACCAGAAATTCTCCCATTGCAACACTCAGAGAGGAACTGCTGGGGAGAGAGCTCAGTTTCCTAAGATGTGAGAGGAATGAAGAGTCGCAGTGTGGGGCCAACCCGGTGAACGCTGATTTCCCCAGAGGAGTCCAAGGGCCCCTGCCTTGACTTTCTTTCTGGGTTTTTTTTTTTTAAATGTTTTATTTATTTATTTATTTTTAGAGAGAGAGGAAGGGAGAAAGAAAGAGAGGGAGAGAAATATCAATGCATGAGAGAGACATCGATAGATTGCTTCTCGCACACCCCCGCCAGGGACCTGGCTCGCAACCCAGGCATGTGCCCTGACCAGGAGTCAAAGTGGCTACTTTTCGGTTTGCGGGTTGGTGCCCAATCCACTGAGCCACACCAACCAGGGATGCCCTGTCTTTCTTGACCCCCAAGTCCAGTTTCCCTTATGGTTATCTTCCTCCTCTTCTCCCTGGGTCCTGCCCCTCTTACCAAACACCACTTACCTCTTCCTCATCCTGGAAGCCTTCCTGGATCTACCAGGTCCAGCACCAGGTCAAGCTGCCTAGCCAATGACTGTCACATCAGTGCTCTGATCCTCACCTTAGCCTTACCAGCCCCTCTCACCCTTCACTGTAACTGTTTTCCTGTGTAAGGGGGCTACAGCTGATACCTATGTGGTGAACTGTGAGGCAGGCTGTGGTTAGAAACCTAAAATAGCCCCTGTTCACCGAGGCATTGCAGAGATCTTCACCTCAGGACCCATCCTCTAGGGCAAAACTACTGTGTTTGAAAGGCTCCAGGATACTGCAGGGCTGGCCGCAGGGAGGGAATGGAGGGGGAAGGGGCATCCAGGGGTTTCAGGCACTGAGGGGACAGATGAGGGTAATATGAAAACAAGGATTACAGGATTGGAATCGGGGTCTTCTCACAGGAAGACACATGCATATCTCAAGTGGCACACAGGGTCTATACCCAGAAACGCACAGCTGACACTTTCTCAGATACACACATTACCTCAGCTTCACACAGCACCTCATGCAAAGACTCTGAGCTCTTCTGCATAGGGTCTCACATACACTCACACACAAAACAGAATCACAGGCACATATATCTTCAAGGACACCCACACCCCCATATACACACACCTCCAGCCCTCATCCACCTACACACGCGCGCGCAGCCTCTCCACAAGAATAGTGTATTCAGAACTTACAGCGCTTACTATGTGCCAGCCACTGCATTAAACATTTTACATATTCTATCTCATTTTATTCTCATAACATCTCTATGAGGTAAGTATTGTTATTATTGGTAAGGCAACTGAGGCACAGAGAGGTTTAGAAACTTGCCCAGGATGTATCAAGGTTACACAGTTGATACATCCTGGCATTTGGCTCCAAAATGAGAGCCACTTCTTTCCATTGTCTGGTCACAGACATGGATAATTGCAGCCATTCCTACAAGCATGCACAGATGCAAGGAGCCCCCTCAGGACACACAGCCCTCCCAGATGGCGGATCCACACAGAGCTCCCTTCTATAAAAGACACAAACTGATACAACCTCTTGGGTCCCCACATAGATACAGTGTTGCCACTAAGATACATATTTCCACAATGTTTTTATTTTATTTTTAAAAAGATTTTTTTTTAATTCATTTTTAGAGAGGGGAAGGGAGAGAGGAAGAGAGGGAGGGAAACATCAATGTGTGTGAAAGAAACATCAGTCGACTGCCTCTCACATGCCTTCAACTGGGAACCTGGCCCACAACCCAGGAATGTGCCTTGACTACGAACTGAACCAGCGACCTTCTGGTTCTCAGGCCGGTACTCTACGCACTGAGCCACACCAGCCAGGACTCCACAATGTTTTTAAACCAGCTTAAGAGGAGCCCTAGGTTCTGCATGTCTGGAATTAGGGGTTCATAAAGCTGTCAGTTATGGAGAAGGAGGCAGAGGGCTCTGAGGGATGAGGAAGAGCGGTGGCAGGTCTGATACCATGGGCAGCAGGCAGCAGGGTCAGCTCTCAGGGCTTTACACTCTAGACCTAATGGCGACCAGAGTCCAGGGCCAGGCCCGGCCCTGTGAACACTAGTATGTTGAGGGGATTGGGGGATGTGGGCTGGGGGTGTGAGGCACAGGGTGTGGTATCCACATGGCCCAAGGCAGTGAGGGGGCCACACTGAATGTGACCACACTCATCTGGTTTTGTCAGAGGCCAGAGATGGGGAGAGATAGAAAGAGAAAAGGCAGAGACAGAGATTGAGAGATACGGGGAGACGTAAGTGTAGGCAGAGAGACAAAGAGAAACCACCTGTGATAGGCTGGCATACTGACTCTTAAAAGGAAAAAGAAAAAAAAGGCCCTGACTTGTAGCATTTGCTGATTTCCATGGTGTAAATATTCCCACCATAGCTGATTTCAGGCTATCGAAGTGACTTCCTGAACACTGGACTGGAAAGAGATTCGCAGAATCAGCTCCCCAGAGCCAGCACTAGCTGGCTCCAGCACTTCACAGCCAGAAAGAAACAAAGAGAGAGAGACAGACAGGAAAAGAGAAAGGCAGCAATGAGAGTCAGAAAGAGAAATAAAGAAAAAAAGAAAAGAGGGAACTTTGGAAAGTAATTTTGATTTCTTAGAATTCTAGGAGGCAATAGCCATTAGTTTCAAAATGCTAATTTACTGAATACTCTTCAGTGCCTGGTATTGATGCAAACAATTTCCATGCATGTTCTCACGTAGTGGCCCTATGGAGTAAGTGGGTTTTATTATTACCGATATTTTACAGATCAGGACTCGACTCTGTTCATGAATATGTCTCTTGAACATCTGGTTGGCAGGAGTCAGCTACTAGAGGTTCATCTGGGTCAAAATCAGGTTCTAGCCCTGACCAGTGGTGTGGCTTAGTTGGTTGAACATTGTCCCACAAAGCAAAAGGTCACCAGTTAAATTCCCGGTCAGGGCACATGCCTGGGTTGAGGAGCCCGGTCTGCGGTTGGGTTGTGTGCAAGAGGCAACAGATCAATGTTTCTTTCCCTCTCTTTCTCCCTCCCTTCTCCCTCTAAAATTAAATAGAATCTTAAAAAAAAAACCAGGTTGTGAATGGCAGAGCTGAGTTCCAACCCTGCAGCATCGTGCTCTGGCCTTCAACATTTCCTCTCTGAGGCTCTACCCACCTGGTACCTTGGATGAATGACATAGGCCCTCTGAACCTTGATTTTTGCACCTGTACCTTCTGTGCAGTTTTTGGGAAGGCTTGAGGAGACATGGCTCTTTCTCAGTGTACAGTGTCTAAGTGGAGCTGAGAACCACAAGTATCATAGCTAGAAGGGCCCCAAGGACCATGAATCAGCTCACTCCCACTTTGTGTGCAGGGAAGAAATGACTTGCTCAAGGTCAAATAGCCACATGGGGGATTCAAAGCCAGGACTATTAGTTCAGGTCCAGAGTTCTGTTCCTGGCACCGTGGCTGTGTTCTCCAAAGAATGAGCAGGAGAACGTCATATTTCCTACCCAGCCCCTGGGCAACTGAACACATCACCCCCTGCCATATCATATGGCAGCTGGCCACCCAGCAGGGAGCCTGCCTCCCTCCCACTCCTGCTCCTGGACACAGGAGCCCTAGGCCCACACATTCTTTCTTGAGGCCACACTTCCCAAAGCTTTGATGTAGACCCAGGACGTCCTGCTGTCCACTAACCCCTGCCAAGTATATGCAGGATCTGGAAACAGGTTTAGGAGCAAATTTTATCTGGCCTGACAACTAGCGTGAGACATTGGGCAAATCAGTTCACCTTTCTGAGCTGCAGTTTCTTTGCCTAAAAAATAGGAATAGAAATCGCTACCTCATGAAGTTGCTTCTGAGCATCAAATGCGGTCAAGCCCCTGAAAGCACCTCTAAAGCTGAGGGAGGAGGAGTGGCAGGGCTGAGAAGAAAGAGAAGTCCCAGGGTGAGGTGAGAGGGTTGAGCTGGCCCAGCTGCCTAGGGGATTTCACCAAAAGGGAACTGGGTCTTTGGGCAGCAGCAGGAAACCACCATCCTGCAAGAGTTCCGGCTTCTCCTCAAGGCTCTGGACTGTCCACAGGAAGGCCAGGGCTGGAGAAGCAGGGGCCAAGTCTCAGTGCCATGCCACCCTAGCGTCACAGTCACCAAGACCTGACCCCACCTCCCCGCCCCCCACCCTGTCTGAAGGCTTTCGTCCCTCACTGAGACCTTCCACCCCTCACCGAGCTCCACTGTTCATAGTGAACCCTGCTCTCCGCTGAGGCCCACACCTTTCACTGAATCTCCAACCACCTCACACCAGCCTTTCTTGAGGCCATGCCATCCTCCCCACCAGAACACCCAGGGGCATAGAAGATGTACCTTAATCTGAGGCTACTATCCTGGTGTGGTAGTTAGAGTGGGAAAGGGTGGGGGCAGGGGAGGAGAGAGGGAACCTCTTTGTCACACTAGCTTTATGGTCCTGAGGATGTCAGCTGGATTTCCTACACTTTTTGTGGGTAAAAGTGGTTTTTCATCTGCTGCTGAAACCTCCCCACCCCCCACCCCCAGACTCTAAAGCAGGGGTCTTTAGGAACTCCAGATTCTTGGGAGATGTGAAGCGTGGGTGGTCCAGGGGCAGCTGAAGGAATAGGAGTTTACGTTCCATGTTGAGCCTGGACAGGAAGCCCCCTCTCCAGGTCCCACCTTAGGCAAGCCGGAGGGCCCTGGCTCCCACTTCCCCAGCTCTGGGGCCACCCTACCCAACCTCTCAAGGTCTGGCCACTTCCTTTCCGCATCAGCCCCAGGAAGCTGCAGAGAGCACTCAAATACCCACACCTATGCTTACATGCTGACGCTCATTCACTCAAAGCCCAAACCCTAGTCACAAATACACCCACTGGGATCAGGAGACAGCCATGAAGCACAGGCCTTCTTCTCCTATTCCCCGTCCACCCGTTCAAGCAGGCTCCCTGGGGTTTGGTAGGGATGACGGGGGAACGCAGGCCTCAGCTCTGGCTACTTCCTTCACCACATCCAGGGCAAGATGCCCTGGACTCTGGGTCCGTACCACCAGCCCTGTCAGTCACTGACTCCCAAATCTCCATCTTCCCATCTATAAAGTGGGAACAGAGCCCTGTTTTCCCACAAACTCCACAGATGGAAGAAGGCCAAAGGACTCCAGATCACTGGGGGTGGCATCAGGGGGGCTGAAGACAGGTCTCAAACTTGCTGACTTTCCCAGGATGGGCCCTCAACAGATCACGAACATTTATTTATTTATTAGACATCAACTGTGTGCTGGTCCCTGGAGGCCCTGCTGGGCTTTCTGGCGCCCCTCCTGCTTTTGAGAAGGTGAAGGGTAGGCTCTCCAGATCAGTGATAAATAACTCTTAACCTCTCCAGCACACGTAAGAAAACTGCTTTCTGCACCTGATTAACATCACTAGGGATGGGATGGGGGGTTGGGGTGGGGATAGGGGCAAAGATGACTTCCCCCCATAATTTAAATGAGGAAAATGAACCCCGCAACTAGCCTAAAGTCACACAGCAATCAAGAGCCCAATCTGTTCAAGTCCCAGAAAGTACAGATCGCCCAACCCAGGATCTTTGAACGCGGATCGTCATCGCCTTGCTCCTCTGTCCGGCAGCCCTCCTCCGACTGAGAACTCGAAATGCGAGGAAAGCAGGGACTAAAGTGGGCAACGAGGGCAACGCGCTACAGCAGCCAAGCAGCGCGGGGCTCTGCTCCTCCGCCCTCTTGTTACCGTGGAGACAGCCCCTCCCCGCAATCGCGGTCAAAAGCAGGATTTCCGTCGGGGCGGCCAGCAATTCCCGGATCCCGAGAAGAAGGTGGACCGAGACCGCCAGGGCGGGCAGGGAGGGGGCACCCAGAGAGGCCCATCCCTGCCGAGGGCGGGGACTTCCCCAGGAAGCCGCGACCCACACCTCCCGTGCCCTGGAGGAGGGTTCCAGCACATCCCCCGGCCGCCCACCAGCGCGGGCAGGAGGGTCTAGGGTGTTGATTCAGGCCCGTCTCGCTCCTCTCTGTGTTTTAGGCTTCGTCCCCGACGTCTGCCGATTCCAGATAGGGGGCTTAGTGGACCCCTGCAATCGCACCCCACACTCTGCATCCTCCAGAAATGGTTCCCCTAACCCCCTAACCGCAAACTACCTCACCTGATCCTCCCAGACCCCTCTGCCAGGTTCCCCTCACCCAGACCCCCTAGCTTCTCCCCAGACCCCACCCCCTCACTTTCAAGGTCCCCTCAGCTTCTCCCACAGCCCCTTTCGAGGTCCGCTTAGTCCCTCTCCCCGGACTCAGCCTTCTTCCCCAATTCTATCAATGTCACACTCTACAGGTTCCCTTCGTTTTCCCCACCAGATATTTCTAGGGGATCTGCTTTCCCCATAGGCCCTCCAACTCCCCAAATTTTAACCAGTCATCTCTCTGCAGGTCTCCTCAGTTTTCCTCTTCAAGTGTTTTTCTGGGTGCGGCCTCCCTGGCCCTCAACTCCCTCAGCTCCCCTCCCTAAATTCAGGCTTACCTCTTCCCCTCGCGCCCGCCCCCACCCCCCACCCCCCTACCCCCGCCTTGGCCGGGTGGGGGCGGGGCACCGCGCAGCCCCTCCAGCCCCACCTGACCGCTGCCTACCTGGTCCCGGCGAGGCCGCTTCTGACCGACCCCAGGCTGGGTCAGCGGGGCTCCCAGCAGCCACGAGTGCCTACGTGAGGGGAAGGGGAAGCAGAAAGCTGGGGTGCTGGCCGCTTCTGACCGTTGCCCTCTGTGGGCAGGGAGGAGGAAGCCTTCTTGGACTTCTCTTATTGCAGGCGCAACAGCAGACGGTAGTGGCGGCAGGGAGAACTTACAGTCACGCCCCAGCCTCGAGCCAGCTGCCGGTAGCGGGGAGGGGCCCTCAAATCAGACTCGCCCGCCCCCACTTCCCACCTCCCTTAGGTTACTGGGGGTCAGCTGCCCCAGCCCTGTCCCTGCACCCCAGCTCCTCACACCGGAACCTCCAGCACGGCCTTCCCGAGGGCCCCTTTCAAAGCACCTGCTCTTTTAGAATCATTGCATTCGAGGTTAAGAGGGGCTTTTCTGTCACTGAAGCCTTCCTCCACTCCTTTTGCAGCCTGGAAAACTGAGGACCTGGTAGGGACAGGCCTCACTCAAATTCTCACAGCCAGCTGACCTCAGGCTGCTGTCACCAGAGCCACTGCAGACCCAGTCACCAAGCCTTGCCATCCTCAGGGGCTGGGCACTCTGTCCCCAGTGCCCGCCTCTGCCCCCCAGGATGTCTGACACTGGGGAGCAGCAGTAGATCCTTCGGAGTCTGTTTTCAAAGGAAGCAGTCCTCAGGCACCCACCCTCCCCCGCACACTCAAGTTTTAGAAAAATTGAGTATCATCCTCTATCATAGTTACAGCGTTTCCAACTAGCAGCAATCCCTGACCCCTCTCAATGTGTGGTTCCATCCGCCACCCAGCCAATGTTACTTCTTCAGCCTTAAACCAAGGGCCAGGAAAATCCCTCTGTCTGAGGAGGAAGGGGTGTATGTGTGTGAGGAAGCTGTTTGGTGTAAAAGTATGTGTGTTGGGATATAGCAGGGAGGCAGGGAGGCTTTGTAGGTACAGATATGTGTGTGCATGCATGTGTGATTGTAGTCAATGAACACAATGACTGCAGTTTTGGAATCAACAACTAGGACACATTATGCATGCGTGAATAGGAATGTGTGTGAATGCCTATGTATGTGCATGGCCATGCAGTTGCGCATGTATTCAGGTGTGCCCCGATGTGATTGTGGGGTGGCAGAGTACAGTGAGATGCAGGTAAGAATGCTCTTCTTCTAGGAAAATGAGAGGATGGATGGGATGGAAGATGCAAGGGAAGAGGTGGAGGTGGAGGTGTGAGGATATGGCAAGGGTGGCCTCGCCCTGGCTGGACACCATCACCTCCACCATCAAGCACTTCCCGATTGGCCATTGGTCTAAGTGTTCAGTTAACAAAGAGACATGTATTATTGCCTGTCAGAAGCCAGGCAATGGCTTCTGGGAACACAGAGGTGAAGGAGACAGATCCCTTTTCCTGGGAGGGTCCTGCGATCTTTCAGGCTCTCTCTGTCATCGTCAAGTTCTGGCTCCTCAGGAGGTCTTCCCTGATTGCCACTCCCACCCCCAGCAGAATATTCAGAACCTTCTGCTGGTGACCACTGATTCTCTGGGTGTGGGGTGTGGGGTGTGGGGTGTGGGGTGTGTTTTCCTCCAGGGCAAAGACCGGGCCTGGCTCTTGCCAATGCCCCCACTGCCCATGCAAGGTCTGGCACAGAGTGGCAGGCTTTCTGGGCATAGAAATGCATTAATTATTCAGGAACAAAGGAATTAACATGTACACAAATGAAAGTCCAATAAAAAATAAATAATTGAATGTAGGAATAAGGAATGAATGGAGAAATTCGAGAATCGATAACTAAATAAGCAAATGAACAGAGGAATAAAACCACTTCTGCTTTTAAAATGCAAATTGGACCAAATTGCTTAAAACTCTCTGATGGCTTACTTACCATTTTGCTTGCATAATAAAAATAAAATAAAATAATAATAAAGAATAATAAATTCCAAACACCTTGCCATAGCCTCCCAGGCCTTGTGCGCCTGGGCCCCGCCCCCCGCTCCAGTTCCAGTGGGCCATCCTCCTCTTTAGCCACTGGGATCCTTTCTGGTTCCTAGAATACATTGAATTTTTGCCTAAGGGTCTTCTCACATGCTGTTCCCTCTTTCTAAGATAATCTTTTCCTTGCTCTTCACAGTACTGGCTCCTTTCTATCCTTTACTTCCTTTCTGCCTCCTCAGAGAAGCCTTCCCTGACCACCTTATCTAAGAAAATCCCCTCATTTTTGCTCTTGGCACCCAGTTTGTCTCCTTCATGGTAGTTGCTACAGTCTAGATTTGTGTATTTCTCAGTTCACTGTTTATTTCTCTGAATCTCTG